ACCCCCAGGCAGCACCGCCCCCTTCCGACCAAAAGACTTCTCCTTCCTTCTCCGGCCCGAAATCTTCCACCCCCTCACCCCACTCAACATCCCCCCCGCCTTCCGCAACTCAACCAAGCAACCGCCGCCCGAAACCCCCCTTCCCGAACTCTTGGAAAAGGGCCACTTCCGCGCGGCCGCCATATCAGCCGTGCAAACCCTCACCGGAACAGGCCGCACCCCCCAGCAGCCGGACCCGTCGGACCACGTCAGGATTTTTGACCTGTTGTACACCCGGTGGGCCTGCCTGACCTTGATCAACTCGACCGACTTGGCGGCGCAGGAAGTGAAAGCGTTGGGGGATCTGAACAGCGCGTTTTACCTCTCTGAGGATCCCACGTCGGGAAAGACACATCATCTTGTTCCGTGGGGGTTGAGGGTGTTGAATGTACGACTGCAGGCGATTGGGTTTGGGGATTTGAGGCGGGCGGTGATGAGCTATTATGAGCTGGCGAGGGAGGCGAGGGTGAGGTTGGGTGAGGCGATGGGGGAGCATGATAACTCTTCGCGGGAGCTGTGGAGGGAGAGGTTGGAGGATTTGGGGGTGAGGGTTGCGGGGGTGTTGGTGGAGATGGGGGATGTGAAGGGGGCGGGGGCGTACTTGAGGGGGTTGAAGGTTGGGGATGGGGGGAAGATGGAGATGATGAGGGCGTTGCTTTGGTTGAGGTTGGGGGATGTGGATGCCGCGAGGGGGTGTGTGATGAATGGGGAGGGGAGGGGGGTCACGAGGGGGGAGAAGGTGGTTTTGGCCTTGTGTGATATGGCGGATGGGGAGTATGAGGAGGCGGTGGCGAAGTGGAGGGAGTTGGAGGAGGAGGAAGAGGGGGATGAGATGGTGATGGTGAATTTGGCCGTTTGTTTGCTTTATGTGGGGAGGATGCAGGAGGTGAGTTGTGTTTTCCTTTTGTTTGTTGAGATGAGAGAGCTGCTAATGTTTTTAACTGTAGGGACGAGCATTGTTGGAGGGAATGGTGGATGCTGGTCGGTCGTCGCATACTTTGTTGTTTAATTTGACGACGATGTATGAGTTGTGCACGGAGAGGGCGCGCAGCTTGAAGGTCAGATTGTCGGAAAAGGTGGCGGCGATGGAAGAGACGAATGATGGATGGGAGAAGACAAATGCCGATTTCAAGTTGTGAGCCTGGGCATTAAAGTTTGGAGGGAAGAGCTGGGATGAAGTAGCAAGCAAGCAGCTGGTCAACCAAGAACGGAAGTGTTTGAGGCTGGAATGACAAACACGAAGGCAACGCGGGATGGGCGTGACAGGTGTTTGTTGTGCGCGGATGCTCCAGAGAAGGCACGGAGATATATACTCCACGTCCGACCTCATCCTCCGTCGATCCCACACTGGCAGTTGAACCATAAGAACGCAGCTTGGATGGCGCAACTGTCAGTGTGCAAGGGTGCGCTTTCCCACCCTGCCAGAACTTGGTCTCGGCCAACACTGCGCTGGAGGTCACCCGTTCGACTCCCCCTGGTGGTACAATCCCGCACGGCAGGGTTTTCGTAGCTGGACTTCCAAGCTCCGTCGTGACGACGATAACTTGGTGCCATCTCTCCACCGGCTCCCGACCTTGGTGACTCCCTTGGGAGGGAGTTCGCGAGATGGTAGCCCCGGTGGGAGGTGGTCTGGTGAGCTTTTTTACCTTGTTTTCTTTCTTTTTCTTTTTTTTTGACTTTTTTGTGACTTTTTTCGCGATTTTTTCTTTTGATGTGAACGAATTTTGGTTTGATAACTAATTTTACATTATCAATTTTCTTCTAAATACCCAACCATGCTAACCGACTCTAGATTGATACCCTTTCCCCATATCACAAGTCGCTGCTTATCCA